GCATCCTCTGTCCAAGTGACCCCATCATCTGCTTGTACCTGCCACATCTGCTCTTAATCTCTCTTCTTGTCATTGTCACTGCCCCAAAATGCACCTGCAGCCAGAAATGAATTTTCTTCACCTAGATGTGGTCCAGGGCTCCAGTCAAAAACAAGAACATCAGACTAAGTGCAGTGGCTCACATTTGTAATTCCAGCACTCTGGGAGGCCCAGGTAGGAGGATCGCTGGAGGCCAGGAATTCAAGACTAGCCTGAGCAACATAGCAAGACTCCAGTGAGGGGGGGGAACAGGAGGGAGGAAGGCAGAGAGAGGGAGGGAGAGAGAGGGGGAAATAAAGAGAAAGGGGAGGGAGAGAAGGACGAAAGGAAGAGAGAGGAAGAAAGAAATAAAGGGGGAGCAGGAGGGAGGGAAGGAGGACAGATAGAGATAGGGAGGGAGACAAAAAGGGAGAGAGGGAAAGAGAGAAGGAGAGAGAGGGAGAGAGAGAGAGAAGTGGGAGGGAGAGAGGGAGAGAGAGAGAGAATGGATCATGCCACAGAGAAACTATAAAGAAGTTGTCCCCTTGTCTCAAAGCCCTCTCTACTGGTCATCTATCATAGAAGCACCTTCCTCGGATGCGTGGCACAAGGAGAAGCAAACCTGGACACCAAGTGGACTGGAAAAGAACCACCAGAGGAGAAGCAAGTTCAAGACTCTGAAACGCACATTATTTCCCATCAACCCAAGAAATTAGGCTTGTTATTCTCCTCGAGCCACCAGGGGGAGCCAAACGTCGCGGTCCGGAGGGAGAAGTGAGCGCCGGGCGCGCCGCGGTCTGCCCGGGGCAGCAAAGTCCGAAGGGATGCCTCGGCCTCCGCTACTCCCAGTCCAACTAACGGCCCCGAGGCATCCTTGGAAAGCTCCGATTTTTAAAGGATTTTTTTCCCCAAAGCAGGCAGTAGTCAAAAGTGTAAGTAGCCTGATTATCTCTCAGAAGGGAAGGAGAGGGGAATTCTGAAAGGGGAATTCTGATCACTTCCCTCGCGTGGTTGGACGCTCCCCGGACCCCACGAATCGGGCCCTTTTTCTAGTTGGCCGCATCCCCGGGGGCCTGAAAAGCCCCTCTCCATCCAATAGCAGGATATGGCCCTGCCTTCCTCAAGCCTCTTCTTCCTGGGGGAAAGGACTTTTGTCCGACCCCCTGGCCCATCAGCCGGGCTTCCCCATGGCGCCTGGCTCACCCGATGCCCTAACCCCACACGCCTGCTCCCACCTGGGCCCCAAGTGCAGCTGGGCTTGCACCTCCTGGGCGGCTTCCTGAGGCTACATGCTATTCCCTCGCTGACTCCCATCCTTTCACTGTGGAACACTATGGATTCTCCTTTATTCTCCCCAAACATTTGTTTGTAACTTTTACTAAAAGCTCAGGGTATGGGAGTGGGGCTCTAACACAGCACTCCCCGTGAAAGAAGCAACTCGCAGTGGAATATTCGCCATTTAATTGAATGAGTTCAGTTGACATCCATCTTCGCTTTGGGACTTTCTGACTCTTAGTTCTGGTTTTCCTCCTCTCTCTCTAACCCCTCTTCTGTCCCCAGCTCACCCTTCTCCTCTGCTTGCCCCTGGGAGTTCATCCCAGGCCTGCCCCTCCTTCCCCTCTCCCTGAGGGCCATCATTCCTCTCCTGGGCCCCATCCCCCTAACAGGAATGTATCTCTGGCCCCAAACCCACTTCCTGGGGGCACTTTCCTGTTTCAGTTAATGGCAGTAGCATCTGCTGGTCATTCAACACAACTTGGGGGTCATCTTGACTCCTCCATCTCCTGCAGCCAACTGAGGATGGAGTCCTATGGGTTCTACGTGCAAACCTTCTACCTACCTCTTCTTTTAAGTCAGTGTTACCTGTCACCTGCTTGTTACCCTAGCACTTCTCCTTGGAGCCATGCTTGTCCCTTTCCGTTTCATTCTTTACATGACACCCAAAGTGACCTTTTAAAACCAACCTGTTACCATCTTGCTTAAATCCCTGATGGCTTCCTACTACTCTGAGGATAAGGGCTGAATCCTTAGCATGACCTCGGGCCTTGGGCTCCTGCCTCTGCAGCCTCAAAACAACCTTCACGGTCCACCCTGTCTTACCCATGCCAGATTCAATCAGTTCCTCTCCCTCAACCATGTTCCCTCTTTCTGGAACTTTCCCTTCTTCTCTATGTCAGATTTGAGACAAGGTGACATCTCCCTCCTCTAAGCTCCATGCTACCACTTTGAATCACTCCTCTTGGGCCAAATTGCTTTTTGGTATACATCATTTACACTTGACCATAAGCTTCATTAAGGCAGGAACAATGTCTGCCTCATGACTGCTGTATCCTTGGCCTCTAGCACCGTGTTTAAGCAGGCAGGCAGTTAATACTGTTGAATTAATTTGGACAAGGGGCCGTATTTGTCCAGATCTCTTTAATTAGAAAAGAGGGCAGAGCTGAACTGGCAGGCAACTTGCAGGATTTCTCCCAAAATTCTTTGAAAGAATAGTCCAGTCAAGGGCCTGAGCTCCAGCAGCACTGTGGGAGGACAGGCTGATTGAAGGTTGTATGTAGCTACACACCAGGGTAGGAAAAACTGGGGAGGCCCAGAGAGCCAACAAAACCACCTTCATACCCCCTATGGCTGTTATTCAGGATTCCTGCTACAATTAAATCTTATTCCAATGAATCTAATAGTTTTCTTTTCCTTTGGTGACAGGAGTTGACCTTGTGACTTCTACTTTCAGCAAAGCACCAAAGAAAAGTGAGTCCACATAGTCCCGGACAGTCTTCAGGGAGGCTCCACAAATGGTCATGGAATAATCTGCCAGCCAGGGTAGGAGACAGGTACAAAGGACAGCTACAGTGTGCAGAGTGGAGCACAGCCTTGCCTTATGAAGCCTCTTCCAGAGACAGGGAAGGAGGGCCGGTAAAGATGAGAGAATGGGCATGAGAAGCTTTATGGAGGTTAAAGCTACAGGACTGGACCATGATTAAACATGAGAGTGTCAGAAGCAATTATGGAGACCAGAATTCCCCACTGAGGAGCCCTTGGGGGCCCAGAGTAACATAAAGATAACCAGCAGGATCTTAGAAGTTTACCTAGGCAATGTCATGCTTACAGAATGACCAGAAGAGGACTATGGATCTAATCCACCCAATCCAAAGGGACACATTCTGAATTAGGCTCATTTACATCAGAAAACCCTTATATAGGGGGAGGCGCCTATGGCTCAAAGGAGTAGGGTGTTGGCCCCATATACCGGAGGTGGTAGGTTCAAACCCAGTCCCAGCCAAAAAAAGAAACAAAGAAAACCCTGAAATATTAGATAATTTCGTCTCAGTTTCAACTCCCAGCCCCCGGCCTCTCATCTACCACCATAACAACCATGTTATGATAAACAGTGTGTCATTAGCCAGAAAGACTTTTACCCCACTTCTAATCTTCCCCTGCTTAGCATTCAGATTCCTATAATACACAGAGCCCCTCCCTTCCTTTGCAAACCCTTCCCCATCCTAGGCATGAACACATTTCCAGAAGGATCCTGGCTTTATTCACCTTACTTGTACCCTTACAAGCGTTGCTTGGGTCCTTCCACAGGGAGGATCACTGGATCAGACAAATTCCAAAATTAAATATATCTTCACAGCAATAAGAATTCAAGGTAAAGGCAAGATGTTTAATGACCAAAATGGATATAGATGTCATAAAATCAAATCTGTTCCTAACTCCCTGGAAGACCTCAGGAACCTTTACCTCTCTGAGACTCAATTTCCTTAATTTCAGTCAAGATATTACTAATATTATAGCAGATTTATGAGAATTAGACCAACTGACACATATAACTTAAAGCCTGGCATACAACTGCTCAAAACCAACCAGGCATGGTGGCTCATGCCTGTAATCCTAGCGTTGTGGGAGGCTGAGGCAGGTGGATTGCCTGAGCTCAGAGGTTCGAGACCATCCTGAGCTGGAGGGAGCCAGAATAAGACCACATCTCTATCCAAAAAAGCTGGGCATTATGGTGGGCACCTGTAGTCCCAGCTACTTGGGAGGCTAAGGGCAAGAGAATCACTAAAGGAAGAAAAGGAAAAAAAATTATTAAAAAAAAAACTGCAAACTAAGATGAATGAAAGCCAGTTGAAAGCAAAATTAAAAAAAAAAGAAAGAAAGAAAGAAACCGTTCAAAATCTGTTAGGATCACTAGGCTATAAATTCCACAAAGGCAGGGATCCCATTCACCTTGTTCATTGCTGTATAAGGGAGTCCATCAGTTTGTGGCCCAAGGAGGTGCTCAGTTAATGCTTGTTGAAAAAATAAATAAAGGTTATTACATTGTTTAATAAACCAAGAAAGGTAGGATGAGAGGAAGGGCAACCAAAGGGACCTACTTATGGAGAACAAAGATAAGAAATATTAACAACAGTGCTATCCAAATCCAAGTCACTTAAAGCAGAACGTCAAAGAACAGTAGTCCTCATTTGGGTTGAAGCCACCCTCAGCAGTACTATTTCCAGTATGGAACGATGGAGAGAATTAGGGCTGCCTTCAGTAGGCAGAGGGAATATAGAAAACAAATTTGGGAGGCAATACTCTATAAAAATTTAGGTTTTCACCTATTTTATCTGAAACAGCAACTGGTCACTCAGAGTGCTATCAATTAAGCAAGAGTATTATTCGTGCTCTCATGCTTTGGGCTCCACAAGGGGTCAGAGCTGGAAATACAGATAAAAAAGGATGATGGTAGGGGTGTGCCCAAGCTGAGAAAGTCCAGAGAAAAAACAGCCACTACAAGAAGATAAAGAGAAGCCATTTCAAAATGAACAATTTGTCCCGATTGCTTGCTTTTGGAAATTGCTGGCTTCAGCTGCAGGGAAGAGAAATTAGAGAGGTCTGTTCAATTGATCAGAATTATGTGAGGAAACAGGAGAACAGTAACTTTGGGCCTCTCTATATCCCAGCAAAGTGAACCACTGCAACATTGTTACTGACCGTACCTGAGAATGTCAATCTCTTCTTCACTTTGTGGCACTGATCTCCTTTGATCTTGGCCACTGAGAGTAAGTAGGCCCCAGAAGCATCGTATCCAGCTTCCGATAAGACGTTCCAGTAGTGAATGAGCTGCAGCCTTGTCCAGAAGGGGCTTTGGATTCTTGATAAAAAGTCTATGATACTTGTGACACAATGTATTAATATATATAATTACAGTATTTCATGCCTTGAAGGAAGCTTTTCTCCTATGTAGCATATTTCATTAACCTATTACATAAACTTCTTACCTAACCAGACTTTGGTGGGGCAACAGACAAGTAAGAGCCTTTCACTCTGCAGCACTCAAAGCCAATCCTCCTCATCTGTGCAGGGTGCCACCTCCTCCAGGCAGGCTCCCCAGCCCCTCCCTCCTGTGTCCTGCACAGAGCATGGTGTCACTGCTCCACTGGGGCATCTGTGGCCAGGTACAGACATTCTCTGGCTCGACCTCCCCCTACTAGGAGGAAAGCACCTAGGCTGTAGCCTAGGTGAAAGCTACTTAGGCTGTAGCTATTGACTTCTGCATCCACAGGGCCTAGCACAGTGTGGGGGGCTGAGTGGGTCATAAGTAGAGTTTTCTGAATGAATGCATAAGAGGGAAAGAAGAAAGAGGCAGGGAGGCAAGAGAGGCAGGGGCAAGGGAGGGAGGGGAAAGGGAAGTTGTACAGGGAATAGAAGGGGAGGGAAGGACGCAGGTAGAAGGATTAGCAGAAGAACATGGCCAACCCTGTACCCTTTTTCAACTCTCATCCTTATCTTCCTCCTCAGGAAGATTCTCCTCCTTTGAACGCTGAAAGGAATTCATGAGGAATGAGGAGGGGACACAGACACCCTGCAGAGCCACACAGATCAGATGGAGAGACCCAGGGAGAGACCCACCGACTACAGAGCTCACGGTCCCCTCCAGTGAATGAGTGGGTGGTTGAATGAGTAAGTGAATGAACGCATCTTGCTCATGGGAACCACGGGCAGCTCAACAGCACCAGTGAGAGGAAATGCTAAATCTGCCTGAACACAACGCTAGAGAAATGGGGAGACTCACCTGGGGCTGGAGAGAAAGTTACACAGCCCCCTCCAGGACCTGTTCATTTTCAGGTGCCACGGCAGTTCTTCGTATACCCTCCAGAAAGTGCTTTGTTGCTGGAAATACCTGATCAAGATTTGGTGAAAATATGCCCTCTTTTGACTTGTTGGGTTCTGAAACGGATATGGATTGCATTCTCTGATGGGCGTGAGGACACCTGTGTATCGTAAAAATCAATTACAGTTTAGTGCATCGGACTTTTTAGTATATGAAAATACTATAGCGAAAATACGACTGCTCTGTGCCCGTAATTAATGGAATCCAAGTCAAGGTCGCTGGGGAAAATCTATCTTATACATCAATCTGATCACTGGCCTCAAAGGTGAGAAGTTTGTGAGAATGTTGATTTCTCATCATTGTGGGCTGTCCAGGAATAAGTTACCTGGTCACTCTGATTTTAAGTAGCTTTGTTGCCTCAGCCCCCCTCCCAAAGAAATCTATGTGTAACCTATTTTTCTATTTTCTCTCTTTTTTTTTAGTACCCTAAAATGCTCCAAAATTGCATTTTAAATATACACCATGGTTACTGCTGAAATAGGCACCTTCAAACATTTGAGGGTATACCGTTTGGAGAAGTTGATCCATTGCCTGGATCTCAGACAGGCCGAGGGGTTACTGAGAAAAGAAATGCCAAGTTCTGTGTTGGAGCCAGGATTACTGTATCTTCATTTCCAAAAAGAAGTGGTTCCAGCTGATCACACTACCCAGCCATAAGCTTCCCGCAAGACAGAAGGGTTTTATCTAATTACTTAAAACCTGGTGATACCTATCCCTGAAAACTAAAATAGAAGTATTTTAAAATTTTCTGCTTGTCACTTATTCTACCAAACCCTGCTCTTCCTAAGAACTATAACCAAAGAGAAGCCCACTGTTTGAACACCCCTCTGCATTTCCACTGAAAGGATTCCCAGGTCACCCACCCATGTGGAGAGACCCTGTGCTACCTGATCTCCCGCGGCAGATACACCCAGACAGCAAGCACAGTGGAAGGAAAAGAAACTCCCCTCCTCCACGGGGTGTGGCAAAGGTCTGTCTGTAGGTAGTAAACTGGGAAAGCGAGGTGCAGAATGGAGCAGGAAAAAGACAGAGATTACCCTGAGTCCAAGATGTGGAATGTTAAACACAATACTAAAAGTGTATACACTCTGGGAGGCCAAGGCAGGTGGATTGCTTGAGCTCATGAGTTCAAGACCAGCCTGAGCAAGAGTGAAACCCCGTCTCTAATAAAAATGAAAAACTGAGCCAAGACGATCACTCGAGCCCAAGAGTTTGAGGCTGCTGTGAGCTACGACAAAAAATAAACATAAAATCAAAGTGTATAAAACATTTTCATAGGTCAGGGGCTCGTGTCTGTAATCTTAGCACTATGGGAGGCTGAGGCAAGAGAAGGCTTAAGCCCAGGAGTTCAAGTTTTCAGTGAGCTGCCACTATACTCTAGCCAGGGTGACAGAGACTCTGCCTCAAAAAATAAATAAATAAATCATAGACAACATTACATTTAATTTTGTCTTTTTACAAAACATCTTCATGAGGATAAATCCCTATATGACCAATAAAACTACTTAAAATCAGAGAAACCAGGTGACTTATCCTCAGTTAGCCCATGACCACAAGCTGGATAAGCAGCGTGCAAACTTTCTGGACTAACACCAGCTCCTCCAACTCCCCGTGGCACGTGAGGACTGGTTTGACCCCAGTGCAGCATGGATCTCAATGACAGATTTAATGGCTGACACTTCTGTAGTGCTGTCGTGACACATAGTGGGCTAAACAACCCCCCTCCCCCATCCCAGCGCCCTAAAAGAGCAAATGTTTATTACGTCCACCACAGGAAGGCAGACTGGAACTCCAATCCGGGTGTCCTGACTGCAGGACTCACAGAGCAGCTGCCAACCGGAACGCTACCCGTGGACACTTAGTCATAAGGCCCCACCTGAGAAGGGGGCCAGGAGGTGTTTCCCACGGTGAAGGAGGGGCTGGAAATACTGGCATTTGGCCCAAAGGGTCACCACAAGTACCTATTATCTTGCCCAATGCCATACTGTATGTAAGCATTTTATTTTATTTTTATTTTTTTGAGACAGAGTTTCACTATATTGCCCTTGGTAGAATGCTGTGGCATCACAGCCCACAGCAATCTCAAACTCTTGGACTTAAGCGATTCTCTGCCTTAGTCTCCCAAGTGGCTGGAACTACAGGTGCCCGCCACAATGCCCAGCTATTTTTTTATTGCAGTTGTCATTGTAGTTTAGCAGGCCTGGGCTGGGTTCAGCCCCGGTGTATGTGGCTGGTATCCTAACCACTGAACTACAGGTGCCTAGCCAAATTATCATTGTAATACCCTTAAGGCAAGTACTGTTTTTATCCCGATTTTGCAGGTGAGAAACAGAGGTGTAGGGACATAAGCACCTTGCACAAAGTCACACTTTATAGCCAGGGTGACACAGTTCTTCAAAACCATTACTCTTAATAAGAAATCCCTTCTACAAGATGCCACAGTGATTTCTGGGAGGAGGGACGGTAGACCCCATTTGCAAATAGCAGGTAGACTGCAGAGATAAGGACAGGGCAAAGTGAGGCCAGGCCTGCTCATGACCATGATATCTTATGCAGGGGGCTTGCGCCTCCTCTCCTGTGCTCAGTGCTCCAGCTCCTGATTCTAGTGCAGCCGGCCATTAGAGGCTGAGGTTTGGGACTGACTCTCAAAGCAATGGAGGCCTGGAAAAATGGCAGGCCCAGAAACCAGCAGCCAGAAATAGCTGTGCACTCATTCAGCAAACATCTACTGAGTGAACCCGGAGTGAGTCCCAGGGAATTCAGACCTGCCAGAGGGTGTCTGATGAAACAGAACAATCTTCAGGCCCATAGTATTCAAGGTCACCAGTTGATTGCATGAGCCACCCTGAGAAAGGTGGTGGGCAGGAGCCCCAGGGAAGAAAATGAAGGAAACGAAGAGGGGCTTAACAGTGGCTGCCATTTCCTGAGACTTTCCTGTGGGCCAGGCACTGTTCTGCTTTACAGGGATTGCTTCACTGAATGCGTATCAAGGGCACAGAAGGAGCTGGGTCCCGGGTGACTCTGTGGAACCGGCAGAGCAGCCCAGAACTGTCTGCCTTCTGCCTCCATAAGTCTACTACATGAGAGAGTAAACCCTGGAGAGTTCAGCCACTAAAGTCAGATCTCAGTTGCTCACAGTCAAGTGCAAGTCCCTACACAACCATTCTCATATGTGTTCGTGGACTTACTTGCATGTGAGAAATCCCAGCTACAAGCAGTCTCTTGCATGTGACCCCTACTTTCCTGAACCAGCAGGGGGCTCCCGGATCTCAGCCTTGCTTACCAAGCAGCTTGTGCTCCACCGCACTCCGCAGCGACTGGTGCCGGAAGTACAGGCGGCCATTGGGCTTCTCCTGGACCCAGGGCTTGGTGGCATTGCGGAAGGCAGCCCAGTGCAAGGTGGTGACTTTGTACTGATTCTTGTAGCCCATCGTGTCCAAAAGCTCCAGCAGCTCATCCTCAGACAACCCACAGTGGGAGATGCACAGTAGGACCAGAGCATCGGCCACCCAACCCTCCAGCCCTACACAGACAACATGAGGGTGACAAAATAAAAGCTAATTTGAGCCAGATAGCATTCTAAATGTTTTACATCAGGGGTCCCCAAACTTTTTAAACAGAGGGCCAGTTCACTGTCCCTCAGACTGTTGGAGGGCCGGACTACGGGCCCTGGGGTGAGTCTGCTGCTAAGCAGGACAGGCAGCGGCTGCAAAAACACCCAGCAGGCCGGATAAATGTCCTAAGCAGGCTGCATGTAGTCTGCGGGGCGTAGTTTGAAGACGCCTGTTTTACATGATGGAGCAACTTAGTTCTTTCAATCACCCTATAAGTAACTGCACTTGTCGTACAAATAAGGCACGTGGAACACAGAGGAGTTAAATCACTTCCCCAGGGTCACACTGAAGTAAGTGCAGACCTGGGATTTGAACCTAGACAGCCTGGCTCTGCACTGATACTGTTAACCATTAAGTTATCATTCACATTGTCACAATGAAGCATCAAGATCTGGCTACACACAGCCAAGCTTGCCATTATTACACTGAGCACTGCTGCCCAGCAGTCTTTATTGAGATTTGCAAATACCTCATTTGCATTTACAGGTGGGAGTGGTTTTCTTCCACGTGATTGTTCACCTGCCACACCTCACAGACACCACTGGAGCCGGCTCTTCATGATTCACCTGACCCTTAGGTTTCCCACCATAGCTGGATTTCCTGCCGGCTCCGTGATCAACCACCTATAAAAAGATCCTTCAGACCATTGAGAGAAATGGCAACATGGTCTACCATTCTAAATTTATCTCCTGTCCTGGGATGGAGAGATGAGCCCAAATTAACTCCAATCTTTAAGCAAAGGCAGAGCTGTTCCGCCCCAGCTGTACAAACGTCCCCTGAGATTGACCTCAGCTTAACCAATATCTTCCTGCACCTGTGACTGGCTGAGCTCTCAGGGCCTGGGGGCGGGGGCTGGGCAGTCTCTGGGGGAAGGAGACCTGGGCTTTGCAGCACAATCCTGGACACAGACGGTAGCATAGTCATGGGCCACTCTGCCTGAGTGACTCTCCCAGGGGCACAGAGACTTGTTTCCACCTCCTTGGAGGTGGGGAAGGGCACGATACATTTGAAGTCAGTTTTCTTTACATAAATGCAAACTCTGGAGAAAGCACGGGGCAGGACATAGGTTGTAGTATAAAATCTTTCATCTGGGCATTCTGCACTCCTCTCTCCTCGCCCTCACTTTCCCACCCCTGCTCCATTCCAATTCACCGCAGAAACAAAGACAGAAAAACTCAAAATAGACACTGAAGCTCACAACAGAGATAATGGCTTGAGAGAACAAACTTGGACTCTCAAAAGCCCAGACTGTTGAATACCATAAATTCCTGACCAACTCATGGGATGAATTTGTTACCATAAACAGAAAACTCAGACAATTACAGGATGGTCTAAAGAAGACCTTTTTCCCCTCACCAGAAAGAAAGGAGATGTTGCTGAACTGAGAACAGTGTAGGAGAGAATCAGAGAAAAGAACAAGACTCAAGAAAAGCACAGAAGCTGGCTGAGGAGAGGGCCCCTCAGGAAGGGACTGCGCCAGCAGGTGGCAGCAAAGATCACGCAATCTGAAAACAAACAAGGGCATCCTAGAAGCCAAAAGTGGAGAGTCATCCATGGACTGGCAAGGCACCGCCTGTAATCCCAGCACTTTGAGAGGCCAAGGCAGGAGGACCACTTGAGGCCAGGAGTTCAAGAACTTGCAATATAGCGAGAACCCATCTTTACAAAAATATTTTTTAAAAATCAGTAAAAAATAAAAAAAAATAAATATCTACAGACCACCTGAGACCATGTCACTCTGGCAGAAGACAATAGGGACAAAAGACAACCAAGGACACCCAGTACTCAGGCCCTCAGATCTAAGTGCAGCCCAGTGGATAAAAATCCTCACTTGACTGAAAAAAAATCCCAAGTTAATTAAAAACAAACTAAACTGATGGAATTAACCTGAATTGGTTTCTGGCATCAGTAGGACTGTAAAATCAAAAGAGAGATTAAATTGAGTTATAAAAATAAGAAAAGTCCATTTCTTAGATTCCTTAAAAAAAAAAAGACCTGATATTTGTATGTATACAGTTCTTCAGTTAACACACAGTTAGTTCTTCAGGTAGAGCCGTCAAATTTAGCAAATTAAAATATAGGATACCAAAATTTTTTAATTAAAAATAATAAAATACATTAGATAAACAACTAATTAATTGTTAGTATGACTATGTCCCATGCAATATTTGGGATATACTTATAATGAGAATTGCTTCTTATTTGTAATTCAAAATAATTTTTAGTATAAGTATATCCCATACAATAACTGGGACATAGTTTTACTAAAGGATTATTTGCGGCTTATGTGAAATTCAAATTTAGTGGGTCATCCTGTGTTTTCTTTTTTCTTTTCCTTTTTCTTTTTCTTTTTTTTTTTTTTTTTTGAGACAGAATCTCAAACTGTCACCCTGGGTAGAGTGCCATGGCATCACAGCTCACAGCAACCTCAAACTCTGCCTTATCCTTCCAAGCAGCTGGGACTACAGGTGCCCACCACAACACCTGGCTATTTTTATTGTTGTTGTTACAGTTGTCGTTGTTGTTTTAGCTGGCCCAGGCAGGGTTTGAACCCGTCAGCCTTGGTGTATGTGGCCCACGCATTTACACACTGAGCTACAGGCACCGCCATCCTGTGATTTCTATGACAACTCTATCCTTAAACCTTCCTCCCTGTGGAGTCACCACACATCTTTCTCCCCCTGGACTCCCACCAAGTTGTCGACACCAGCCAAGACCTACCTTCTCCCAAAGCCACAGTTTCAGAATTTGCCTTTTTTGGTTGAAAAGTCCAACTATAGTCTTCAATCCAGCGTTTCAGGATCAACTCCCAGAGATCCTGAATAGAGGCCACCTCCAAGTACTCCCTCATGCACTGAAACTCATTCCGGTAGATCCTGCATTCTCTCCACTCACTGGCTAGGATCGTGAGTTTTAAAGGACTCAGGTCTGGTTTTTTCTTTAAAGCTTTTCTGCTCTGTTGGAAGGGGTCAATGCTGGCAATGGAAAGATGCTGTCTAAAGATGTTGAGTTTTGTTTCTTCATCTCCTGGGCTAATGAGGTCCACCATTCTCACATCTGGGCGGGCACACAGCGACTTGTAGGACAGGCTGGAAGAGACTGTGCTCATGATAAATTTGCAATGAGGAGAGAGTGAGCACGGTAGCCAGGAAAAATCCTTTGCCTGGTGGAGAGATTCAAAGACATTAGAAAACTTTAATTAGACTTCAAAATTACTGATGGTTCTCAGACTTAGAGTAGGTGGAATATAGAGAATAAGTATAAGGTAAGGGCTGGGGTTCTGGTTCCTGATAGTAACTTGGATAGTAAGCATTACAGTGGTAGGAAGATGCCAATTTGCATTTAATAGAATTGTCTTTGACTGACTCATCTGTCAGTAATTCTGTTATATAAATGTGAACTCTTAAAGAAGTCTATAGGAGCAAGTAATTTAATAAAAGCTCATACTTCTGAAAAATGACCTACAGTAATGACCCGAGGAGTGAAATAGTGACAGTGGAACCACTCAGTCGAAAACGAAGACATTGGGTTATGCTGAAAATTTGTCACTTTGTACAGCAATACTATCATGAGCAAAAGGCTTTCATTTGGGGGAAAAGTAAGTACCTAACAAGGTCTTCTCAACCCCATTCCCGATCTTTCCCACCACTCTGTGTCTAATAATAACAAGTGTCATATACTGTCTGCTTACTCTGAGCCAGGAATCTTGTTGACTGTGTTTGCAAGTACTAACTATAGTCTGCTTTATATTTTCTGCATCTTAAGATGTTTTGACATCTCTCAGGATCTCACAGCCCCAGGGAGAGAATGCCCTTCCCGAGGCCAGCTCACTCCTGGGCAAGGTGGACAGCTTGCCAGGAACATGCCTTTCTTGTGCAGACTGGCCAATCTTAGGCCATGCCTAACCCACCTTCTTCACTGCCTCACACACAAAACTACTATTTCCTCTGTCCTAAATCAACCCAGGGCCAGGTCCCAGACAGCTAGGGACAGCCCCTATGTCCCTAAAGTCCACCAGAATTATTTAAACTTGCCCACCATGTTTCACCAGCCCTGCCTTGCCTTTCCTGAAACCTCAGGAAAGGTCCTGGCCTCAGTTTCCCCTTGATCCTGTCTTCTGTGTCATGGATGCCCTGACACCCTGACACTTCCCTTGGGTCTGTATATGGCATTCCTTCCTCTCAGAAAACATAAGTAACAAATTCTTCTTTCAATGGCATTAGTCTCTCCATGTGGTTGCCCAAACACACTTCTATAAATTAAATCAGGTGTATAATTTTAACACACTTATAACCCCCCCTTATAACAACCTTCTAGAAGTGCAAAGGAGGAAAACGAGGCATACAGGAGATAAACACCTTATCTCCTTCATTCTGTAGGTTAAGTGGCAGAGCTGGGATTTGAACCAAGGGTCTGGCTCCAGACCAGGCTACTAAGCACTGCGCTGAACTGGTTCAGGGGACCACCAGGCCAGTTCCTCCTCCTGCAAAGCTCTGCCTCAGGCCTTTCTTCCAGGAAGCCACCCTTGAAGGCTGAGTTCCTTTATCTACTCATTTGAGTGAGATGATTTCATTAATGTCTGCCATTCCCCACTACAATGAAAGCTCCGTTTCCTGGCAGAGACCGTGTCTGTCTTTGCTCACAGTGCTCTGCCAATAGTAAGTGCTCAATAATTATTTGTTGACTGGAACATGGTTGTCATGTATCAAATCAAAAAGCAGGTTACTAAATAATGTGGTGTGTGACTTCATGTACAAAGATACGTGTACATACACGTGTGTACATAGATATGTGTACATAGGAAAAAAGTTATACCGACAAAGAGGTTAACAGTGTTGAAACTGTGAGCATGTTTAATTTTCAATTTCCTTCTTTCTTATTTATCATATTTTCTACAAGAAACATATATTACTTACATAATTTATTGATTATGTAAGGTATGTTTTTAAGTCTTAAGGAAATTGCTTCCAAAAGTAATGACAGGTACTAATAAATAGTAGATGCTCCATTGATCCAATACTATTTCAAACAGGAGAAAAGCTAAAGATGGCAACCAGTGAATGGGATTTGATATGTGCAAAATTAGTGTAGATGAGGTAGATCAAATGATTAAACATAAGGAATATAGTAGGGGTCAAATAAGACTGATCAAAGTATAAAATAGGGGCTATGCACAATGGCTCATGCCTGCAATGCCAGCCCTGTGGGAGGCCAAGGGGGAAGGATCACTTGAAGGCAGGAGTTTGATACCAGCCTGTGCAACACAGTGAAACCCTATTGCTACAAAAAAATTAAAAAATAGCCAGGCCTAGTGTACACGCCTATATTCCCAGTTACTCAGGAGCCTAACGCAGGAAGATCACTTGAGCCCAAGAGTTCAAGGCTATGGTGAGCTATGATCGTGCCACTGTACTCCAGCCTGGGCAATAGAGTGAGACCCTGTCTTTTAAAAAAAAAAAAAAGAGCATAAATTAAGGAGGAGGGCAGACTCATGAGACCAGTGTAGGGGGAAAGACCACAGTTTTTGGAACCAGATTGCCTGAATTCTGAGTCCACCACCTATCTCGGGCCCTTAGACGAACCACCTGACATCTCTGGGCTCAGCCCTCTGCAAATGAGGATGACGAGCACCATCTCATCTTCACATGGTGGTTACAGCATGCCTGGCTCACTGTACTTGTACCATGTAAACATTTGTTCAATAAAACAGGCAGCAGATACTAAAAGTAATGTTGGTTCTAACTTAGGGTGACCAGACGTCCTGCTTTTGGCGGGACAGTCCCTATTTTCAACAATTTGTCCCATGTCCTGCAGTGTTTTAAAAAAGTCCTGATTTTTGGAAAGAATGTATGAATGGGCTGGAGAACAGTAAGGGAATATATGGTTTTCCACTGCCATGTGGCTATTTCACCAGGATAAGAGTTTTGCATTATTTTTGTTAATTTTATAATGTTAAACTGTAATAATAACAAATAATTGTTGAGAAGTGATTATCGAGAACTGCTTATCAAAGTTTGCATTGTTGTCAGGCCCTGCCCCTGCCCTGCCACGTGCCCCCCCCCCCAAATAATGGAATTTTCTTTTTATAGAATCATAATAAAATAGGGGTTATTTTAAAAGCTGTTACCTTCTGACCTGAAGTCCCATAAATGCCAATCAGTTCTTCAATTCCATCTAGTACAAGTACACATGGCTTTAAACTGATGGAAGCAATGAACATCTCTACAAGAAGTGAAAAGACCAAGACACTGGAGTCTTCATTAAGGAAATCCATTTCAAGTGGAGTACCTACAGCATAGAAATTTGCTCAAATTAGGTGAAAATGTCTCCATTATTGCTAAGATATGTTAATGGACGGGGAGGCAGAAGAGAGTGGGAAAGCCAAGTGCTACTCACAGCTGTCCAGCTGACAGACACATGTGTACTTGTGAATAATGTCCTCAAAATACCCAACGCAGGAGGGATAAAGACATTTACCACCAGATGTCTCCAATACATTTTCAGGATTTCATATAAAATATATTTTCGCGTAATCCAAAACATTACTCTCGTGTATCATCCAAAACATGACTTCCAGGGTGAAGAAATAAATCAGGTGACAAAGAGTTTGGATGGGAAGAAAGAGAAGTCCTACGATCTGGGAAGTTTCTGCAGCTCCTCGACACTGGTGCCATGTCGGGTCACAGCCACCACCCTGGTGCCTCCCACAATCACCCACGGCCTCATCTCTTGGTGCTAGCCCATCTCAAACCTTATGGAAGCAACCCTACATTCTTCACCTATGTTACTGAACCCCAGACCTTACATTCTCAAAGCTACAAGTTCTTAGGGAGAACTAAGCTATGGACCAGCAAAAAGCAAAGGAAGTCATTCCAGAGGACCAATCTGTCAGATTGTGATGCAATGACCTGGTGGCAGCAACCCCCCTAGCTAATATCCTAAAGTTTCCTACATAGTATCCTAAAAGCATTTTACTACATACAACTTCTGTACTGCATTTATTTTTGAAAAAGCAGTCTTTGCCATAGAAATTTGGGCAGATAGGGGTCTAGAAAATCAACTCATGTTGTAATGGATTAAGTATCTCAGATGCTCTGAGGTGCTACTACAGTCATCAACAGTAATCATGTTTTGTAAATATTTACTGGTTGCCTGTGATATGAAGGCCCTGTGCCAGTCACCAGAGGAGATAAAATGGCCTGGGGCAGAAAGTCAAGCACTTAAGCCATGTAAATGGGTTCTGTACATAAATAGCCACAATTCAAGGCAGAAAAGAGCTTCATGAAGCTCAATGCTTCACCCTTTGAACTGTTAAAAAAAATCTTTAAAATTAGGGACACTGTTGAGATATCAGACCTTTAAATGACAGAATTTTAGCACAGAAGTGGTTCTTACAAATCATCTAATCTAGTCCAAACCCCTCAATTTGTAATGAGGAAACTGAGGCCTGCAGAGGTGAAGGGATGTGAACACACAGATCGTCCAGAGCTTTTAAAACACTTATTTTTCTAATAGTTCAATTTCAAGCCATGCGTAGCCACCATGTCCTGGTGTGGATGGCTCATTAGCAGTCACTGGGGAGCCCACAGGGGTGTGGACTGTCTGCCTCTTCAACAAGGCTGGCAGGGGGGCTAAGTGACAAAGCAGACGGATGAGCCACAAGGGACAGGCACCACCTGACAATCATTAAGCACAGTCTCACCGGTACAATCAGCAAAAAGGAATCCCAAGCTAGACAAAAAACACTCAAGGAAGATCCTCATAGACGCGTGGCCTGGCCTATGAAGAAAAACGCGATGTGCGGCGTTTTTAAAATTATCATTTTCCTCAACATGATGCTGCAGGTAAAGTCAGCGTCAGTAAGTGTTGGAGAATGATCCCAGACACGTCTCTTTATTCTGGCAGAACCAATCTGTATCTGCTAAATGACAGTGGCCCGTTGACTAATTTAAATGGTAATACACTTGAGATGTGTTTAAAAACCTATTCCGTGGCTTGGGAATTGACTAACTCTTTATCCATGTTGTCAACATGGATTTATTGAGAAGCTTCTCTGTCTGTGTCAAGCACTGTGTATGACAATTAGCCAATACAATAGACATGATGCCTGCACTCATAGAACTCAGACAGGAAGACAAAAAATCAAACACGTACCGACCGGACTGTAAGTGACCTGAGGGACCAAGCAAGGTGACATCGTACAGTATTTGGAGGGAGACACCAAGGAAAGCTAAAATGCAATTGCACTAGGGCTATAGCTCCCACCTGGTTGAAGTGAGGGGTGAAGGAAAGAGGAACCCATCAGCCCGTGTATGGAAAGGCAGCCTTTGAATGGAGCCTTAGAGGAGGAGAAGGGGGTAGGCGCAGTGGCTCACACCTGAAATCCTCACACCTGTAATCCCAGCAGGAGATTCACTTGGGAGGCCCAGGCAGGAGAGTCACTTGAGCTTTGCAGTTTGAGACCAACCTGAGCAAGAGCAAGATCCCATCGCTACTAAAAATAGAAAAAAAAAAAATAGCGGGTTGTGGTGGCACACACCTGTCGTCCCTGCTTCTCGGAGGATGGCTTGAACCCAGGAGCTTGCGGCTGCAGCGAGCTATGAGCCACTGCACAGCACGCTAGCTGGGATGGCAGAGAAAAAAGGACAGAGAGAGAAGGCGTTCATTGCCCTGAGAAGAGGGAGGGCATTTCAGGAGAAAAGAACTGAACAAAGACACGGAGAGATGGAACTCATCCAAAAGAGTGAAATTTTCCCCTGTTGGCTCCAGGTGGCAGGACCATGCAGAAATGACTAGAACTCCACAGACACCGGAGCTTGCCAGCCTGCTCTGCCCACGTGTAGCTGCGTGGCCCTGCCATTCTTAGGCTCGGTTTCCCTATCCATGATCCTAATGGTACACAGAGCATTAAATGAGATTCTGATAAAACCCTTAGCACAGTGCCGGTACTCAGAAAGTCACCAACAAATGGAACTTGTTGTTATTCCGGGCTGCCACCAGGTTCCATGGGGTAACACAGAGACAACATGCAAATAAGAAAGTCAGTGACTGTCCTCTGACCTGCAAAGGGTATTTTCAATGACACCAGCTGCCTGCAAGGCAAGCAAAGGGCATGGGAGTCAGATTGCTGGCGGCTGGACACAAGACCCCTTTATTCTGGTGAGCAGGGCTTGAGGACAGAGGAGGAGAAACGTCAACATCACAGGAGGGTGTTCTGGGATTCCCAACAGGGCGGGTCCCTGGCCCACAGCCCATGCAGGAGCTGCAGCTGCAGACAGCTGAGGCAGCAGGAAAATGCTCTCTGCAAAGAAGCCAAGTCTGCTCCGTGCAGACTCGGTCTCTGAGGCAGCAGCAGCTTCTCCGCCTCTGTGCACACCCACCTCACCAGGTGAAACTCAGCTTTGCAGCAAAGGCTGGTTCGCTCTGGTTCGCTCACTGATCCTGGGTTAGCCTTCTACACCCACCCGCCAAACTGCTGTAGAGCTGTCCTTCCTCTTCTTAATCCAGCTAATGAATGGGAATGAACTATTTCCCTTAGCAGCCCCCACTCCCTGCTTCTTTCTCTAGCACAGTGAGAAATTTAAAAAATAATAAATAACAATGATAATAACAACAGCTATGTTCCAGGCACCATTTTATACACTTTCCATGTATTATCTTTAATCCTCATGTAGCTTTAGGAGGTAGGTACTATAAATCTCATCTCAGTTTACAGATGAGAAATTGGGGGACAGAGAGCTTAAGTCCCCAAGGTCATGCAGCTAGCAAATGGTGGAACCAGGATTGCAGGCTAGGTCCATAAGCACAGGCCTTCCCTTCAGCCTCCCGCCATTAATGAAAAAGGGTGTTCATTTAAGGACTGGGGGTGCCAAGTGTTCCCAAACTGTTCCTGAATTGTCAGTCTAAAGATCTGTCCGCTTGGAAAATAGCGGCTGTTTTTATTAGGAGCTTTCTGCACCCCAAACCACATTCATTAAAATAACAATTCACTTTGGGAATAAAATCATAATTGGGCTCGTACAGCTGAGTTTACATCATCAACCTGGCCAGACTGTATACCTTTGGGATGCGCCAGAATAGGATTAGTCATTGGATAGACACATAGACACGGTCACACCTGCTTCTACTGATTTTTCTGATTTTTATTTTACCCTCATGGTAAAGACAGTCCACACCCCTGTGGGCTCCCCAGTGACTGCTAATGAGCCATCCACACCAGGACATGGTGGCTACGCATGGCTTGAAATTGAACTATTAGAACAGCAACTATGAGAACAGCAACTGCAACTATGAGAACGGCAACTGCAAAGACCCAACCCACATGTCTACCCCTATTTACTCAGATACTCACCACTTGTACAGAACAGAGTTTCATACACCTGTCTCCTCACATGCGGATAAGAGTTATACATCAAAACTCACACTGGAGGGCGGCACCTGTAGCTCAGTGGGTAGGGAGCCAGCCACATACACGGAGGCTGGTGGGTTTGAGCCCAGCCTAGGCCAGCTAAACAACAATGACAACTGCAGTAACAACAACAACAAAAAAAAATAGCTGGGCGCTGTGGTGGGTGCCTGTAGTCTCAGCTACTTGGAAGGGGGAGGCAAGAGAATCGCTTAAACCCAAGAGTTTGAGGCTGCTGTGAGCTGTGATTGCCACAGTACTCTACCCAGGGCAACAGCTTGAGACTCTGTCTCAAAAAAAAAAAAAAAACTCCCACTGGAGCACACACATACCCAACTCAAGGCCCAGAGGCACACATGGGTATATGGCCCTGCATGAGAAGAGATGAATCCCCCAAAACAGCCACAGTCAGACACAGACATGCAAACATGTACCAGTGCATTTCTCACTGATAATAGCTGATATTCATCAGGGCTCACTGGACGTGACGCACTGAGCCAAGTGCCTTGGTCTTTCCCACATTCTGTTAGTTAATCCTCTCAACTACATGTATGTAGGTACTCTTTAAAAAACTATTATCTATGCCTTACAAAGAGGAAATCTGAGTCACAGAGGTTTAGAATAAGTCACCTAAGGTCCCATAGCTAATCAGTGGTGGCACAGGTTTGGATGCAGGTGACGAGGCCCCTCCAGCCGCTCCTGGCACAGGCACAGTGCAGATTCCACACGACTGTCATCACGCACTGGTACACGCCTTGCATCTTAACTGTCATGTGTGCAAAGCAGAACACTTGATTTCTCCCCAGCCTACCAATGTTGGCCCATCTCACCCAACCACCCTCCCTTTCTGCCTAGTTTCCTAAAGCCTGAAGCTAGGAAGCTAGGACTATTCCTCAATTCCTCCCTTTCCTTCAATCCCTCAGCAAATCCTCAACCCCCTCCTAAAGCTTCCACTGCTATTGTCCTCTCCAAGCCACTGTCATCCCTTACAGGGACCACTGCAGTAGCCTCTAGGTGTCTCTGCCTCGTCCTTGTGCCCCTACATCCATTTCCCACACATCAGACTGATTTTGATCTTTTTAAAAATAATCAAATCCAAGTGTCACTCCCCTCTTAAAACCCTCCACTGGGGCCAGGTGTGGTGTTTCACATCTGTAATGCTTGTACTCTAGACGGCCGAGTAGGGTGGGTCACCTGAGCTCAGGAGTTTGAGACCAGCCTAAGCAAGAGTGAGACCCACCTATACTAAAAATAGAAAAAAACCGAGGCAAGAAGATTACTCAAGCCTAGGAGTTTCAAAATACAAAACCTCCACTGGCCTCTCATTGCATTTAATAGAATCCAAATCCCATATTCTGGTCTATGAACCCCAATATAAATTGGCCCAGCCTTTCTGCTTCATCTAGAATTGGTGTGCTCTCACCCAGTGGGCAAAATGTAAGGGTACATTGGCTCAGCGCCTGTAGCATAGTGGTTACGGCGCCAGCCACATACACAGAGGCTGGCAGGTTCAAATCTGGCCCCTGGCCAGCTAAAACAGCAATGACAACTGCAACAAAAAAATAGCCAGGCATTATGGCAGGTGCCTGTAGTCCCAGCTACTGAGAGGCTGAGGTAAGAGAACCACTTTAAGCCCAAGAGTCTGAGGTTGCTGTGAGCTGCGACACCACAGCACTCCACTGAGGGCAAATGTAAGGGTATATGGCACACCTCCTGGGTGAGGGGCACAACTACAACCTTACCTAACAAACACAACATTATAACCTAATTGTTTGCACCCTCATATTAATCTGAAATAAAAATAAAATAAAACAGAAATGAGCTTCCATTTAAGAAGCCACTGAAATGGGATTTAGTTGATACAGCAGCTAGTTAGCCTAACCAGTCCTGACACATAGTCCCTGACTACTCCAATAGCCACCTGTCACCACATCACACCACTCAGCGTGGCAATGATCGTTATTTGATGTCTCTTATTTATTTGTTATCTGCCTTTCTCCACTAGAACATGATATGGATGGGGCCATGACCTACTTGCCTGACTTACTCCTGGAGTCCTAGACTGGGAAGAGTGTCCAGCATAGAACAGGTAACCAGCAACTATTTTGTAATGAATGAGCAAGTGAGTAAATGAACAGGCTCAGGGAATACTACAGAGGAGGGGCAATGGTCAGGAGGACCATTGTGCTTGTCTCCTTGACAAGGCTATTCCTGAAATATCAGGCTGGCTCCTTCCCTCCTCTCTTGCAGGTATTTATTTTAATGTCTTTTCTGCAGTGAGACCTCCCAGACCCTATTTAAAATCCTAACAGTTCCTGTGTGCACACTGCCTTCCTTCTCGCTCTGCTGCTTCTTCATGGAACTTCCCACCATCTAACAGTCTTTTCTTCAGTTACTCAGTTAACTCTTCCCCAGTAATGTGAAAACTGCATGGGGTAGGGACTTTTGCCCATTTTGTTCACGGCTATATCCTCACTGCCTGGAATAATGCCATGACACATAAAGGTACTCAATTAATAGTGGTGAAAGGGCTTGGCACCTGTGGCTCAAGCGGCTAAGGCGCCAGCCACATACACCTAAGGTGGCAGGTTCGAATCCAGGCCGGGCCTGCCAAAACAACAATGATGGCTGCAACCAAAAAATAGCCGGGCGTTGTGACGGGCACCTGTGGTCCCAGCTACTTGGGAGGCAGAGGCAGGAGACTCGCTTGAGCCCAGGAGTTGGAGGTTGCTGTGAGCTGTGATGCCATGGCACTCTACCCAGGGGGACAGCTTGAGGCTCTGTCTCAAAAAAATAAAATAAAATAAAAAAATAGTGGTGAAAGAAGAAAGAAAGAGAGAGGAAGGAAGGGAGAAAGGATGGAGGGGAGGGAGCAGGAAGGAGGTAAGGAAGAAAAGAAAGAGAAAGGAAAGAAAGAAGAAAAGGGAAGAGGAAGGGAAGGGAAGGAAAGGGAAGCAAAGAGAAGGAAGAAAGTAAGGAAAAAAGGGGAAGGGAAGAAGGAGAGGAAGAAAGACAGACAGATAGGGACAGAAGGAAGGAGAGAGTTTATCTCTGTGAGGGGAAGGGGCAGGTAGATATGTAAGAAAGAGAATAAGGGGTTTGGATCAGAACAAGAAAACAACAGCCACATGAGCAGAAGACAAAGCCGTTCGTTTCCAGCCCACCAGACGTTTTCTGAATAAATGGGCAAGCTTCATCCCATTAGTTACCGTAGTTCTCAAGATGTAATTCTGTGACGAAGTAATGGATCACAGACATGATGTCACTGCTTTCACAGGTGCTCCCCAAAAACTGAGATATCATCAGCACGCTCGGATATTTCTTTCTGAAATAGTTCACCCAGTTGGCAATCAGAGTGGACTTCCCACAACCGCGTTCTCCAGACAAGAGCAAAATAGACTTGTAAGCTGGAAAAGAATTTACTCTGAAAAATAAAGGGGCGAAATGTAGTCAAGTCTATTTACCAAGGAAGGTAGACAGGTGGGCAAAGAGAACAGGGTGGGAGAGAAGGGGGAAGGAGGAGAAAATTGCCCTGCATACATTTTGCCTCTAGCTCTACTCTCAATTTGGGCCTCGGTTGGGTTCAAAGAAGTCATTCACCCTCTGGGCTTGAGTGTGGTCCGATATAAAATTAGGAGAGTAGGCTGGGTGCAGTGGCTCAGGGCTATAATCCTAGCACTCTGGGAGCCGAGGCAGATAGACTGCCTGAGCTCAGGAGTTCAAGACCAACCACCCTGAGCAAGTGCAACAGGTGTCTCTAAAAGATAGCCAGGCATTGTGGTGGGCACCTATAGTCCCAGCTACCAGGGAGGCTGAGGCAAGAGAGTTGCTTTGAGCCCAAGAGTTTGAGGTTGCTGTGAGCTATGAAGCCATAGTACTCTACAGATGGTGAAAAAATTAAGATTCTGTCTCAAAAACAAAAAACTTAGGAGAGTAGAAGTAACCTTAGAAGGCCCTTCCAGCTACACACATCCTAGGGTTGTCCTATAAAAACCCAAGGTTACATAAAGGGTCAAAAACTGAATCAATCATATGACCATCAGTCCTGATGACCACCATAAAACACATTAGAAGTTCAACTTTAAAAAAGTAATTCATTGCCTCGGTGCCTATAGCACAGTGGTTACGGCACCAGCCACATACACCAAGACTGGTGAGTTTGAACCCGGCCCAGGCCAGCTAAACAACAATGACAACTGCAACCAAAAAATAGCCAGGTGTTGTGGTGGGCACCTGTAGTCCCAGCTACTTGGGATGCTGAGGCAAGAGAATAGCTTAAGCCCAAGAGATTGCTGTAAGCTGTGACACCATGGCACTCTACCGAGGGCGACAAAGTAAGACTCTGTCTCACAAAAATAAATAAATAAAAATAAAATAAGACTAATTAAAAAAAAAAAAGTCATTCATTAATGACTCACTAAGAAGCTTCTCCCCCACCAGGGTGTGGCAATATTCCATAAATATGGTCTCTTTGAACCGACAGACAACAACATAAGTTGTCTTGTTGCTTTAGTTTTTAGCAAAAAGCTTCTAGATAGGCAGAGTCTTCTCAGGTTCATGAATATCACTATATATGGCCTCTAGTCTCGTGCCTTACACAGTTACGGCTCAATAAATACACATCTAGTGAGTTTTCATTGGTGTCAATTACATAAGATGGAGGTTACCAGGCTTACCTTATTCACAGCACCTGACCATAAACTGTTACATGAGTCAATAAAATATAATAAACTGAGATTCAGCAAAGAAAGAGGACCAGTCTGAAAGCTGATGAAAATGGAAAACTAAAGCAGTGTCCTTAGAAGATACTTCATAAGAATTCCATCGCCTTCGCGTGACTTAGGAATCAGTGCTCTATTGTGGAAATTCTTTCACCAGCAGATTCGAGTGGTCGGATTAGATTACATGCCCTGCGTTTCCACCTTGCCCTCATGCCCTCTATCCGCAACCAAGCAGGGAGAGTGAATCCTTTGAGATGCACCATATGTGTAGGTCATCGCTCTGCTCAAATGCAGCGAAAGCCCAAGTCCCTACCGTGACCTGTGAGACAAGACTCACCCTCCTGTCACCCAGCACCTCTCTGACCTCTGCCCCAGCCACTCTCACTGCAGCTCTGACTTCCTGCGGCCTGGTGTCCCTGCTATTTCTCTAGCCTCAGGGCCTCGGTGTCGGCCATGACCTCATCTGGAAGGCTCTTGCCATCCATATTTGCATAGCCTGCTCTCACATCCACTTCTAGTAGTTACCCAAATACCACCTTCTCCATGAGGCTTCCCTCACCCTATTCCCTTTCAAAGTTTCATTTGCTCCCTAGCACTTGAACGTATGTAGCATATACATACGTTACATGTTTATTAGGGTTATGGCCTGTCTTCACCGTGCAAGCTCCAAAGAGGCTGGGGTTCTTGTCTCTCTATTCACTACGGTATGTCTTGTGTCTAAAATAGTTCTTGGTGCCTAACACATAAAAACAAGGAAGGAAAAATGCAAATATACATGGACACAATTAGGGCTAGAATCTTACAGATGTCTTCTCAAGAACAAATAGATAACAAAAACATGGCAAAGCAATCTGTGGCTCCTTTCAAAGTGAGAAGGGAAAAAAATGCTCTTGAGGCATGTGGTTGATTGGTAAAACAATGCTTTGCAACTTGAAAAGGACACTCCTTTTCTGTTGACCTCCACACTCTATTGGGGAACTCACAGTAGAGGGCATTGTTTCCAAATGGCCAAACAAAGCCCTGAATGTTTTCACACAGCTAATCTAAAAGACTCAATACATTGTTGTATTTTTATCGAGCACAATAATTCGAGTTGTTTAATTGCAATTAGGTTTATTAAACTTCTCCACTCTGAAATACTCAAAATCATAACTTAAAGGAGAAATAATTCACATACCAAAAATCTTGCACTTTTAAGCACACAATTCAATGGTTTTCATTATGTTCACAAACATCCTCCTGTTTAGTTCTAGAATATGTTCAGCACCCCAAATAAGAAACTTTGTACCCATTAAGAGTCATTCTCCATTTCCCCCCAACTTTACCCCCCAGGAGCTACTGAGCAATTTCCTGTCTCTACAGATTTGCCTACTCAATCCTAACATTCTTAACCTGTGACCCGTATATTTCTCCTGTAGTCATAAAAATATTGACTAAGCGTCATATTTCAATAACCAAATAAATTATTTTCCTCTTGGCACGTGCTGTCAGAACCACAAGAATGTTGGTAGCTCCACGCCTGAGTGGACTCCACTGGTGGGTGCTGAGCCCAGGGTAGAGGGCAATGGTGGAGGACAGCCCTGAGCCACCGCAGCCACTGAGGGCTTATTCCAGGATAAATGAGATCCATGGTCAAAGCTGGAGGGTGAGGATGGAAGAAATATTGACTAAGAAATAAAAGTACCACCAGACACAGTGGCTTACACCTGTAATCCCAGCAGTTGGGAGGCAGAAGCAGGTGGAATGCCTGAGTTCAGAGGTTGGAGGCCAGCCTAAGCAAGAGCAAGACCCCGATTCAAAACAATAGTTAGGGGTTGTGATGGGCGCCTGTAGTTCCAGCTGCTCGAGAGGCTGAGACAAGAGAATCACTTAAGCTGTGATTGTGAGCTGTGAGGCCGTGGCACTCTACTGAGGGCAACAAAGTGACACTCTGTCTCAAAAAAAAAAGAAAAGAAATAAAAGTACCCTCAGACGTGGCACTCAACTGAGGGCAACAAAGTGACACTCTGTCTCAAAAAAAAAGAAAAGAAATAAAAGTACCCTCAGACCCTCCCTCATTTCTAGGGATGAGACTGGGAAGGGCACCTTAGGCAACCTGAGCTTTCTTAGCTGGTCTCAGCTTCTAGCCCACAGGGTATGTCACCACCCAGGGTGGCAAAGATACAGAAGTTACACTGCAGGGGACACTAGATAAAACAGGGAAGGAGTGCACACATTGGCTAAGATAACTCAACTCCTTCCATGTAAACACAAAGCATGATGTGGCCTGTATCATTTTAGTAAGTGCTGGCTTAGTATCTGAACGTCATTAATAATGATAATCTATGTACAGAAGCTGTTTGTAAACTATACAACACTATGCGGATTTGTTATTTGCATGTCCTATCTAATCTGTCTCTTTAAAGTCATTCTGTCATTCTTGGGAACGACTGAGACCAATTTTGACAGAGTGGGAGGAAAGAGAGGGCAGATTCTCTGCTGCCCTCTCGGAGTTTATAATCTTCTTGAGAACACTGGAAGAAAGTGTATGAAACACCAGAGAAGCTTTGCAAATGCACAGCGATAAGGAAATTCTAACTCAGGGGTGGTTTCCACAGGGTCTCTCTTACAGGAGAGGATGGGCAGAGAATGGGGGACATGAGGAGAGACGACCCAAATTTAGGGGATCACATTTACCAAAGTCAGGCTGTTTTGCTTGGGCCCCATGGAAAGGCTTGGAACTTCTGGACTTCTTACCTGAGAACAGAATCTAAACTGGAATTTGCTGCTGCATTGTTAAAATCCATTTCCACATCCTTTAAGGCAAATTTTTCCAAGATTTCAAAGGTCCTTTTGGACTCCTTGGAAATAACAAACACTTGCTCGCACTTCTCAGTAAATTCTTCGTGATAGGAACGTTCAAACCTGTGCTTGTAGTCTTCATAGTCAAAAAGATAAGTTTTAGTATTTTAGATTTGTAGTTTCACATTTTCAAGTGTACATGGTTATTTATTATAAATGCCCTGGACAGTTTCTGTCTCTTCTATCAATATCACCTTCTTTCCATTTGGGCTCCGTATTTCACAGTTCATTCCATGAGCCAGGGAAAGAAAACTATAACCATCCTCATGCTATTTACACCTGGAATACTATTACAAGTCATTTCATGACCTCAGTCAGAATGATAAGAGCAAAACAACATTAGACTTGCTATATATATTCTGTTATTTTTCCGAATCGGTAGCTAAGTAGGAAGTTGCCTAATTCAATCATGCAGTGTATATGCAGTGTCCATGGCAGAGATTGGAGGTAGTGGAGTATACATTTAGGATAAGATGCCAGGGGCTGGATATAGTGGTTCACACCTGTCATCCCAGCACTTTAGGAGACCAAGGTGGGGGAGAATCACTCGAGGCCAGGAGTTTGAGACCAGCCTAGATAACATAGCAAACCTGCATTCATTTAAAAAAAAAAAAACTTTTTAAATTAAATTAGCTAGGCCATAGTGGCTTGTGTCTGTAGTCCCAGCTACTTGGAAGGCTGAGGCAGGGGGATTGCTTGAGCTCAGGAGTTGAGGGCTGCAGTGAGCTATGATTGAGCCACTACACTCCAGCCTGAGAGACAGAGCAAGGACTCATCTCCAAACAAACAAACAAACAATGACACCCCAATACAAATGACAACCATAGGTACAGTTGCAGCTCTGAGACTGGGTGAGTACTTTAAACTGTCTGGTAAAATAAGGGGATGGGCAGACAATGGGATGATCTCTGGAGTTTCTTCCAGGTTCAATTTACTGCAATTCTACACTCATTACATTTAATCCTAATTAAAGTCAGGGCGTCCTAGTATGCCAAACTGCTCTCTTATCTCTGGTGACATCCACATTGCCCAAGTTTGTATTTTTTAAGGGTAGAGGCTGTTGTCAACATATTCGGGAAAAGAAAGAGCAGACAGGTTAGCCTGGTAGGTTCCCAAGATGCTCACCTTCTATGTTTATAGTTAACTGGGCTGCCTCATGGGCATGGTGAAGAGCAGAACAGACCTGGGGGGCTTATAGTCAGGGCAAGGTCAGCTTCAAGTGTCAAGATCTTAGAATCTGGGATGCCCTAACATTCAGTCGGCCTCATGTGCTAATCTTAAGCTTCACCCATTATTCTTGGTACCTTCAAGGACCTCAAAAGCACTTATAAGGTCAAGAGTCTAAAGTGATAGTTCTATATCATCTGACATGAACTACCAGCTGGCCAAATGACCTATTGCTCCCCTAGCTGTGGACTGTGAGATTTTGGAGCTGAGTGATTAAAGACTACTGAAGACCCAAAAGGAAAAAGAATTTAGCACATCTTTCTAAAGCATTTTTTATAATCCATCCATCCTGTATCTTCTAATTCAGACCACATATATACATTCAAGAATAAAGTCTAGGCTTGGCACTCATAGCTCAGTGGTTAGGGAGCCAGCCACATACACCGAGGCTGCTAAACAACAGCAGACCAGGTCTGCTAAACAACAATGACAACAACACAGCAAAATAAAATAGCCAGGCATTGTGGAGGGCACCTGTAGTCCCAGCTACTTGGGAGGCTGAGACAGGAGAATTGCTTAAGCCCAAGAGTTTGAGGTCGCTGTGAGCTGTGATGCTGCTTAAGCCCAAGAGTTTGAGGTTGCTGTGAGCTGTGATGCCACACCACTCTACCAAGGATGACATAGTGAGACTCTGTCTCAACAAAAAGAAAATAAAGTCTAAAACAAGTTAATCTTTCAACAATATCCAAAACCAAAAACTAAGGAGACTACTATTGAGAAATAATCTGACCCTAACCTAAGTATACAAAAGCCTTGATTTTGAACACATTAGTGAATATTACTCAATGGATTCAATTCAGACTGAGATTAGTAAAAGAATATTAATATTAACCACATTTCTGACTTTAGACCAATGCACACATTCTTCCAGGACCCATTCGGCATTATTATTCTCATCAGTTATTTATCCTGTGCCTAATTTGTGCTAGGTGCTGTTTTTCAGCGTTTGGCAAACATTTCTACTCTCAAAGTAGTTAATGTTAGCCCATCTTTTTTTTTTTTTAAGAGGCAGAGTCTCATTTTGTCACCCTCAGTAGAGTGCCGTGGCATCACAGCTCACAGCAACCTCCAGCTCTTGAGCTGAGGCAATTCTCTTGCTTCAGCCTCCTGAGTAGCTAGGACTATAGGTGCCTGCCACAACCCCGGCTATTTTTTTGTTGCAGTTTGGTCAGGCCGAGTTCAAACCCACCACCCTCGGTACATGGGGCCAGCACCCTAATCACTGAGTCACAAGCTCCACCCAATGTTAGCCCATCTGACAGAAGAAAATAATTAAGGCTTACCAATATTAAGTAATTCGCTTATTAAGTATTAAGGTCACACAACTAGGAACTGAAAAATATAGAATCTGATGACATATATGTCAAATTCTAACACCCTAAGTTAGTAGTAAATATTTGGGATACTTTTTGGCTGCCCAACATCAATTTACTCCACCCAACTTACTCCATTCTAATTTTCAGTTAACAGCCCTAGATTTTCATGTGGGATCCACCCATCCCTACTGTTGGTTCATATTATTCCAGTGAATCTGACTCCACTTCTAGCTCCAGAGGTGACCTATGACCCAGGAGTAAGCAATCAGAGCATCACTTTCTCTTGGTACTAGTGACTGAGTCAGATGCAGGCACATGGCCCAGGGCAGGCTAACCTGAGTCCTAGTCACCGCTAAGACTGGGAGCAGTTCACTTCTGCTGAACTTGAACCTGGAGCAATTACAGCATTTTCCTCCATGAAAGGAGCCATGGAGCTAAGCCAACATCAGGGCGGCAGAGCCAAGCTGCGAAACAGTGAGAGATGAGGGTCTGGTAACATCATTTCATCATCTAAGCCACTGGATGAAGGCTGAGCTGAACCAGACCTAATCTTGGGCTTTGCAGTTATAAATGCTAATAAATTCCCATTTCCTTGAAGGTAGTTTGAGTTATTTGCAACCAAAAGAGTTGTGACCGATAAGTGTTCTTTTCCAGGGTCCAAAAGGATTTGCCTTGTAGGCAGAGTTTTGTTTAGCCAGCATAGGTTGGTCTTTGCCCCACCCCCCACACTGCATTCAGATGACTGTAACATTGGTGACACACTTAATTACTATACAATAGCTTTCATTTGCTCATGTGCAAATCCAGAATTACAGCACCTACTTTGCAGGGCTAACCCTTGAAGATTAAATGTGATACACACACCAAGCACAAGATAATTATTATAACAATAAAAGTTTGTTCCTTTCCCTTTAGCCCAGGATTTCTCAGCCTCAGCACTATTCACATTTTGGGCTGGGCAAGTCTTTAGCAAAGGGCTGTCTTGGGGACTGTAGGATGGTCAACAGTATCACTGACCTCTTCCCACAAGGTGCCAGTGGCTCTCCCCCAATTGTGACAACCAAAAATATCTTTAGACATGGCCAAATGTCACTGGAGGGGGCAAAATTGGTTAAGTACCACTGCCCCAGATCCACATGTTAACTGCTAGATATTTAGGTCTTCCCTGAGCTCCTTAACTTCCTTAATAATCTTCCATGACCCCATTATTTACTCTGACTTTGTTACAAAAATCTTCAAAACGAACAAATACGTGTTACAAGTATACAGTAATAATTTTAACTGCTTAAGGACTATTTCCAGCTGTTTAAAAAATTCCTTTTATAAGAAAGACCTACAAAACATTAGCCTTCTACCGAGGACAGACTCAGCTATCTCTGTATTTACTAACCTATATTTTCAATCCTTGGAGTGGCTGGGTAAAGCTTTTCTATCACAACCGACCAGTCCTTGAAAAGCAGCTCACCCAGCTCACGGAGATCTGCATAAAATCGGACGGGGAGCCCTTTACTAATAATCTTGGCCTTAAGCCTTCCAACCCTCAATTTTTCTTTTTCATTCACCGTAGAACCTGAAGGCGGCTTCTCTTCCTTTTTCTCGTCTACTGTCCTCAGCGTGGCTCCCTTCCGAAAGTAAAAATACTGAAATTCCGACTCATTCCGAAATGCTGCTTGAATGATCTCAAACTCCAGCAGACTGCAGTTGGGATTCTCCAGGACCCAGGGATAACCATTTTTGGCAGCAACATAGAGATTCTGTTCTAGTTTGGATAAATTTGACAAGTCAGTAGCTTTGAAGAATGTGAACGCTGAGTAGTCGGGGAGAAAGTCCCCGTATGTCTGACCCAGCATGCAGATGAAAAAGGGGTAGCAGCTGTTCACGTGGTCCAGACAGAGCTTCAGATGCTGCGACTGGAGACAAGAGTGCTGTCGAAACAGGTTGGCTGGGGAGGATTCGGGGGTCTCCGCTGCTGACCGACTCAGGTCCACAGCTTTGAAATATGTGCCTCGGGAATTGCAGAGTGTCTTAAGCTGAGGGAAGATGTTATTTGCCAAAAAGTCTCTCTCTTCTTGAAAATCATTCAGAGTTGCGCAGATATAAGGCTGAATGGGTTTATGGGGCTGTGAAAGGAACTGGGCATATCGCTCTGTATTTTCCTCTGTCTTCTGGCTCATGCCTCCTTGCTCAGGGACAACTTAAAATACAACAATTTTTATTCACCGATCCCACTGTTTTTAAGTCTTCCTCCTGATTATGTTTGCCATGAACACATGGGGATCGTTCCCCGCAATGGTTTTTGTCTTAACAAAATTGGAAGGTGAAAAATGCCAGCCAATGGAGGGATCAGAGTTGAAAAACAATCTAGTTTCAGTCAAGACTGAAAAAGAAAAGACACATTCATTTTAGGATTACAGGCAGTCGGTGTCTCCCCTGTTCTCCCAAAACTTTTGCTGAAGAACTGAGAACCATGGGGAGGGGGCCCACTGGGTGTCAGGCCTTCCTTCTTCTCCCCCCACTGCTGCTCTGTCTACCCAGTGTTGCTACTTCTGCCCCTGTGACTTTGGAAATTATGGAAGAGCACTTGTGCAGAAAAAGAAAACACATCCCGAAAAGGAGCCCAGAGTCTTTAGGAGCCGGACAAGCCAAGGAATACCGTGATTTGACCAGAAACAAGAATGAAAACAGGTATGACGTTGAGGTCAGGACAGGCTGAACAAACCAAAGTATCACAAGACCAGGAATGGAACTGACAGATGAAAGGCAGGGAAGTCTAGATCTAAGAATTTGATGGAGTTCAGTGATTTTTTTTTTAAGTTTTAAATTATGCAGGCTCATACAACATTCCATTCATCTCTCTGTGCTGGGAACTAAATTCCACCGAGGTAATGGAAAAACACACACCCTCTGCCAATGACATAACTAAGCTTGCAAGAGCTCAGAAAAAAAAAATTATGGAAACAACCTAGTTTTTCTGAGCTTTTTCTTGAAATAACTCATGTCCATAGGAAAGACTGCTTTTTTTGGTTTGGTTGCTTTCACTTGTGAAAAAATATATCATGTTATCAAGCCCAAAGCAATTTTTCATTAAGATCGCTGGATAACAATAATGCGGTCCCTTTTAAAAGAGCATTAACCAACGCTTTTGCATTGATTTGTCCAACAATCCTGTGATAGATAAGATTATCACCCTACTTCACAGACAGGGTAAGTAACATGTCCAGTTATTTAGCCAGTAAGTAGAAACAGGATCTAAACACAGGTCAGCCTGACTCCACAACAAATACGTGATAATGCCTCCCTATTACAAAAATAACACCCTAAGTTATAAAGGAGACACCATATATCAGTGGGTGGGAAACACCTATCCAACAAACAGTAGTCTAACAAAGAGGTGCAATTTGGAAAAAAGTAATTTAAACTACAATCTTACAAAAATAAAACTCAAAAATGGCAGAATAGATACCAAGGATAGGGATGGGGTGTTAATAGACTTCTCACCAGTCATGTAGGAAGGAGTCTTGAGATAGATCACTAGCCCGTGAAAATATCCACCTTCTTCTATTCTCTTGTAGTTAGAGGTCATTCCTATTTAATTCACGTCCTTAACACCTCATGTGCTGACAGGCTCAAAGTAGGTGCTAGGGAAATACAGTACTTGTTGAATTTAATATTTTTAAATGAAAAAGATAAATAAATATTTATCAAACCTGAAGTTGATTTCCCAAATTTATAACCTATAAAAGAAATCACAAAAGAAAAGACGGACAGATGAAATTACATTTTAAGGAAGACTTAAGAAAGAAAACAATGGATCATAATACTATCTGCCACAGATAATTTTATCTTTATTGTAAGCAAAACACTAACGCCAACATCCCAGAAAAGATATAAGCAAGAGATACATATAGACGAAAAAGAAAAACAATATAAGAATACATGGAAAAGAATATTTAACTTTCCTAGAATTCAATGAGATTTTCAAATAATGATTTTTTAAAAAAATTATAGCTATCAGAATGTTGATGAAATTTGTATCTCGTATATAACTATGGAATTGAAAAGTGGTAATCTTGGAAAATTGGTAATCTTAGAAAGCTATTTTGAAAGCTATATTTCAAAATATATTAAAGCATATATAATCTTTGACTCAATAATTCTACTTCCTGGAAATCACTCCCAAAGAATTAATGCAAACGGCAGAAAACTGCAGGCATTAAGAAATTCCCTTTCGGCTTGACGCCTGTGGCTCAAGCGGCTAAGGCGCCAGCCACATACACCTAAGGTGGGGGGTTCGAATCCCCAGCCCGGGCCCGCCAAACAACAATGATGGCTGCAACCAAAAAATGGCCAGGCGCTGTGGCGGGCGCCTGTAGTCC